TGATTAAACTCGGCCTTTAGCCTTTTTTCTTCCTTACAAGGCAAAATGAATGAGTGATGGCTGGAAGCTCTAACCTTCCAATTACATAGCTGATCTTTACTATTATTATTATTATTATTATTATTATTATTATTATTATTATTGTGATAAGAACAATATTAGGCCCACAAACTAAAAGATTTTCAAGGAAACTCCTGGCCCCTATTCACTTTCTTCATTGATGCCTCTGTGTCTAGGCCCAACTCTGGTGGAGGCTTTCAGCCTTGTCTTCCCACACCCCATCAGGGCCTCTTCTGGGGTACCCTTCTGAACACTCGTTCTCTGTTCCCGGCCTTGCTCGTCCTGCTTAGCTTGTGACCTTGAAAAAATTTACTCCACATGCCACTTCCTCGGTGCAATATGGAGTTAGTGATGCTTTCTGCTTGCCTGAGATAGTCCTTCGTCAGGATTCCTTCTCTGGAGGGAGCTTTTGGGTATTTGTAACCGGTGTGCCTGGCCCTTCCTTCCCTTGGAAACCTTTCACCCAGTGGGCCTACTATTGTTCCTGTCACAAAAGTGGCACACAGGAAGTCTGACAATGTGGTCATCTAGACAAGACCACCACAACCAGGAAGCCAATGTGGATGGGGGAAATGTCATCAGGCCCGCCCAGGTGAGGCACTGCGGGCAATCAATGGCTGCTGAGGGAGGGAGGGTCAGTCTTCTCAAGGGATGATGAGCCCCTGATAGGTGATTGATTATTCTGTCCTTAAACACATACCTAGAGCAACACCAATTGGACAAGAGATATATCTGTCTGTCTGTCTGTCTGTCTCTCTATCTATCTGTCTATGGGAGGTCATGAATTTGAGAGTGGAGGCCACAGAAGGTGTTGGAGGGGATAGGGGAAATAGGCGGAAATAATGTAAACCCAGTACCCATGTGTGAAATTCTAAAAAAAAATAAAATTAAATTAAATTGCAAAGGCCAGATGTGTCTTTCTTGTCACTGGGTTGAGACCATGTGACTTTGGCTTTCCAGTCAGTCTTTATGTTCTCAGAGGCAGTGAGGGAAGGACTCAGGGTTCAATTAGCCAGAATCAGACCCTAAAGCATACACGTGAAGACAGTGGCTGATGAACCGTTGACATGCAACACTGGGGCTTTGCGACTGTGCGCTCTGTCCACACCCACTCCCTGTCCCCACCGCCACTCCCAATGTGCACCGCGCTCCTACTATGAGCTGGATGCTGCAGGAAGGTGTCCTCGTGGATTCTTTAGTGGTCTCTGCACTTGACAGATGTGATGCCCTTCAAGGCCATGCAGGGAGTGGAAGCGCAGCTGAGATTCCACACAGCAGAACCACTGCTTAGTTCTTCTCAGATTCTGCCATCTCTCACGTGGTGTGGAACCTGCTGGCTATGTCTCTCCCGAGTTTAGATGCTGTAGGAGAGTCCAGGACTTGCCTGCCTCCTGCACACCTCACTTCAGCCCTGTCTTGTAGCTCTGTTCTCCCACTTGCTGTCTACAGAATATGTCTATTCATTATGGACCATTTTTGCTTCCTTTCCACACCTTCTCCTTTCAACAACGACCTTTTGTTACCTTTTATTTAGCATGCATGTGTGCATATATGTTTGCGTATGAATATGTCCACAGAGGACAGAGGCCAACTTTTGAGAGTCAGCTTTTCTCTCTTACCACCTATAGATCTTGGGATTTGATCTCAGGTCATCAGGCTTAGCAGCAAGCCCCTTTATCCAGCTTGATGGACCCCCCATAACCTTAAAACCAGTGTGGTAAACCTCTGATGGCCAGATTTCCCTCATCACATCTATGACTAAATTCTTGGGGACTTTGGGGCTGAAAGTTTATGGCTCATGAAGGAGCTTGTATTTGGTATGTACTCTTTCCTGCTTCTAACCCAGAGGTTTTCAACCTGTGGGTTGTGACTCCTCTTAGGGGTTAAACGACCCTTTCACAGGGGCCACATATCAGATGTCCTGTGTATCAGATATTTACATTATGATTTATAACAGTAGCAAAATCCACGAAGTATTTTGTACTTGAAGTACATGAAGTTATAAAGTAGCAATCAAAATAATCGTAGGGTTGAGGGTCCCCACAACATGAGGAGCCATACTAAAGGGCCACAGCACCGGAAGGCTGAGCACCACTGACTTCAAGCAACGCCTGGCCTGGCGGTGAGGCAGACATAGACATCCTGCCGGCTCTTTCAGTCATCGCCGTCCCTCGCTGGTGCTTACACAGAGACCCTGGGGAGGGTCCCAAGCTACCAGGTGCAGCGTGTCTGCCACTCTCAGCGAGAGAGGGCCTGAGAGCTTGAGGGGTGCATGCTACCCCACAAAAGCTCGTCCCACAAAAGCGCTGTGAATGCCACTGTCTAAGAGATCGCTACCGAAACCAGCGTGTCTCATCAGCCCTCCCGGTGTGTTCTTTTGGAAAGAATAGAAAACGCGTCTTCTTTAAGCAGGAGTCCTCAAACTGTGACGTCTTAGCCTAACTCTGGCTCGTGGTTTGCTTTTATATGATTTTGTGTGGCTCTGTTTTAATGTCTTTTAAAGGGCTGTGCCCAGTGGTACACACGCTTGTAAAACCAACGCTTGGGAGGTAGAGGCAGGAGGACAAGGAGTTCAAAGTCAGCCTCAGATATGCAAGCAAATTCAAGATCCACCCCCCCCCCCTTCCTGGAAGTCGCTCTAGGGAGGATGCAGTTCTAGAATCCCGGCTACTTAGATGGCCTGGACAGTCTAGGGGGATGTGATGTTGGGGCCAGACACATCTGTCGCTGCTCTCTCAGATTTTGATGAGCCTGTTCACTCCAAAAATATTTCCCCCCGGGGCTCTGGGAGCTGGCGGATGATACGTGTTGTTGCTTCTTGTTCCCGGTTATGTTTCGGTAATAACTCCTCCCACACCCCTCCCCCGTGTGAGTACGTTACTCCTTGTCTGAGCCTGTTAAGTCTTGCTACTGTTAACATTTTGCTCAAGGGCATGGTGAGAGTAGTACTAAAAACTGCCACTAGATGGCGCTACAGTTCTGAACAATAGGTGAGCACGTTCCTTGCGTGAAGAAAGCAGGAAGTCTTTCGATTTTAGGCTATTTCCTGTTCTAGACAGCTCTCATTCTTGACTCAGCCGCAAACCTGCTATGTGTCTCTCCTCATATGCTTAATAAAAAAAAAAAAAAAAAAAGGGTTTAGGGTTTGTAGTAATGTTCCCTTTTCCTTTAAGGAGATGCTGTGACCTTGTGATCTTCAGAGAGACCAGACTTTTGAACACCCTATCATAGTGCACACATGTGCTCATTAAAGCCATTTCTTGGGCACGCTTCTCAAGACAGGGCAACTTTCATAACATCCTTGTATGACGAACTATGAGAACCTGGGTGTAGGGGATAGCAGTGGGGAAACCCACAGCTGACCACGGGAGAGACCATCATGGGTGAGGTTGACCAAAGGGGTTCCCAGCCATCACAGCGTTGATGAAGGCGAGACATTCAGCACTCATGTCAAAAGGCCATAGGGAAACGTATGCCTAGAATTCCAGTCTTGGGAGGCAGGAACAGGAGATCTTGCTAGCCAGTCAACCTAGCTGATTCACCAAACCCCAGGTTCAGTGAGACACCCTGTCTTAAAGCATAAACTTGGAGAATGTTTTCCAGTGTTTGTCAACTTGACACAAACTTGGATGCACTTGGGAAGAGTGAGACTGGGTTGAGGAACTGTCCCCAGTACTTTAACCCGTGGGCCTGTGTCTGTGGAGGAGGGGGTTTCTTGGTTGCTGATTGATGTGGGAGAGCCCAGCCCACTACGAGTGGTTCCACAGTCCCCAGGCAAGGGGTCGTGGGCTGTCTCAGAAAGCTAGCTGAGCCAGTCATAAAGAGCGAGCCAGCAAGCAGCATTCCTCCACGGCCTCTGCCTCAGTCCTTGCCTTGAGTTGGTAGCTTGGCTTTTCATAATGATGGACTGTTCCCTGTAAGCCAAATAAATCCTTTCCACTTCAAGTAGCTTTTTCATCTTCTTTGAGACAGGACCTCACTGTGTAGCTATGGCTGGTTTGGAACTAAAGGTATTCACTACCATTCCTGGCTGGGCAGAGTGATTTTATCATCGCAATACAAAACAAAGACAGGGAGTGATGGAGGAGCACTGAGAATTCACCTCTGGCCCGTGTGTATAAACATGCAAACATATGCACACATACACACACACACACACACACACACACTAACTCATACAAGCAGAAACATCTAATTTAAATTTAAAAAAGAGTACAAGGACTCGTTTGTGTCCGTTTCATCCTTTGCAGAACACCAAGAACGAGAGAGCCAACCACACTCTGTGGAGGCAGAATCAGATAGTCCATGTCAAGGTTCTCCACACTGTATAGAGGGACACAGCCAATGGTAGGTGCTCTGTGATTTTGTGATTTTGTCCTCAGGGCCTCCTCTCACTTTTTACTTTATCAGAAGACATCCTGATGCCAACCTCTGCCTTCCACATGTGCCCAGGCAATGTTCATACATACATACATACATACATACATACATGCCATTGCAGTTTCCATCCATCCGTTCATCCATCCAACCATTTATGCATCTATAATCTAGCCATCCATATATCCACTCATCCACCTATTTATTCATCCGTTTGTCTATCTCTTTATTCATATCTCTACCCACCCATTTATCATTCATCCGTCCGTCCACCTACACATCTATCAATTCATTTATTCATCCACTTGTCCATCTATCCAAGACAATATATGTGATATTTAAGTAGCACTCTTGCTCCAGTGGTATGGAATAGTGACATCACTAGCATGTGCTCAGGAATGTTACAGCATATGCTGATGTAGACAATTACATTATACAGGCAAATCACCCAGCATTGGGCTGTCACATAAATCAGCTCATAAGCTCCTAAATAATAAGCTCTATTAGGATCTGACTGCTGCACTCAAATGCTACACCTCGAACCCTTGGGCAAATGTCGAAATCCAGCTCAATTTTATTATTCAGGGTTTTTAGGAGGGGGGGTAAAATGAAGGCGTCTTGGAAAGTAGGCAGAGTCAGATCTGGACCATGAGCCAGGACAGGGAACCTTGTGGGGGAGGGGAGGGCCCCAGGGGACCGTCATCTCTAGTATATAGTGTATTTCTGGAAGTGTCTCCGGTGATCTCCCAGCTCTGTGACGCGTGTCTGTGAGAGAAGGGAGGAGGCAAAGGCATCGGCTGGACTTAGGAACACGGCGCTGGCGTGGCCTCCTCCTCCTCTGCGACTGGCCCCCTGCTATGGTGGGGCAGGCTGCTGCCGAATGGGCATGCCGACCCGGCCCTGTAGCCAGTTGATGTAATCCTCTTGTGGCATGTGGATGATGTGTTCTCGCACAAACTGTGGGGTAAACATAGTGTCACTCCCAAGGGTCTGGTTTGAAAGCTAGACCAACCCCCTCACCCCCAACCTCTCTTCGATATCCCAGAGGACTTTGTAATTGAAATCCAGGATGCCCCTCCCCCGTGACTCCAATGTTTTATATTGAGGTTGGTGCAAAAGTACCTGAGATTTCTGCATTGTTGAAATTTAGCATTTGATATTGGAATGCATTATTAAATAAATACAGTTATGTTATACGCCATTTTTAAGGCACATTTCCTGATTTACATGTTTGGTAACGACTTTCCCCTTGATGTTTATTTTATACGATGGAAATGATATTGGGCAGAAAACAAATTTGAGTTATTTTCATTTTTTGAAAAAGGTTATTTCCCACTTTATATGTATGTGTGTATGTATGTGACTGTGGAGAACAGAAAAGGGCATCAGATTCTCTGGAACTGGAGTGACCCACATGGGGGCAGGGAACAGGACCAGGCCTATGGCAAGAGCAGCCAGAGATCTTAACTGGCTTCTCTCCAGCCTTTGGAGTGATGTCCTTACTTGAATTCAGAATAGGTCTTAAAGTGGCAGAGATGATACATTTGGCCCAGAAACTAATGACTGTCCAGTGCAGGAGTGGTCCAAGGAGTGGCTGGTTGAGCGAGATCACCGAAACTGATCCCTTTACAAAGAACCAAGAAAGCTGTGGTCTGAAGTGTCAGTTTCTCTTTTTATGTCCAGCAACACCCATTTCTCAATTGGGTTGTGGCACTAGCCTAAAAGTGAGCAGGACAGGACAACTGATGAAGCCTGCTCAGGTGCTTGACTGAAAAGTAGCTCTAAGGTACATCCCAAAGCCAAGCCAGAAAAATATTATGGCCGCTGTTTCTTGGACTGCTGGTCTGATCCACGACAGACTTCTGAATCCATTAAACCTGGGGACACCCAAGGGGATCTGCTGCCCTCTTCTGGCTTTGGCAGACATCAGGCATGTTTGTGATGCGCATACATACACATAGGCAAAGCACGAATACACATAAAAATAAATCTTAAAAAAAAAAAAAGAAAACCACTCAAATTTGCTGTGGGGGCTATTCTTGGTTGTTAGCTTGGCTACATTTGAAATTAACTAAAACCCAGGGTTTCTCCCTGTGAGGGAATTTTTCTTAATAATTGGAAGTGGGGAAAACCCACTTTTAGCCTGGATCTTTTGAGGTGGGAAGGTACACCTCTGATCTATGCCACAGGACGTGGAGGAAGGAAACCTCTCTCTTTGCCTGCTTGTTCTCACTTTTGTTGGCATTCCATTCCCTCACTAGCATTAGAGCCTGCTTCTTTGGGATCTGGGTGTAAATTGGAGACTAGCTGAGATCTCCACCCTTGTGGACTGAACAATAGCTGGTTTTGTGTACCTTCTATTGGGAGACAGCCATTGTTGGATTAGCAGGACCACAGCATGTAAGTCATTCTAATAAATCTTTATGTATATAAAGATTCATTCTCTATGTTGTTCTAGAGAACCCTGATTGATATATTTGCTTTTTGCCAACAGACCAATGCTTCAAAAGTTGAATAAAGTGGGGTGAGTTTTGAGCTGTGGAATTTGGGGCTATGGAGATTTGGGGCTATAGAGCTTTGGGCTGTAGAGTTAGGGGTTATGGAGTTTTGAGCTCTGGAGTTCGGGGCTATAGAAGTGTGTGCCATACTCTCTCACTGTATTCTCCTGACCTCCTGCCAACTGAGGCCTGCTTCTTCAGTCATTTGAGAAACTCTCTTGCAAGGAAACACCTCTTTAATCAGTTGCATGCAGATGATGCTTTCCAGGAGTTTACTGAATCTGAAAGTATGGATTTTTGCACCATTGGAAAAACAAACATGTCTCACTGTGTTGATGGGAGTGGTTCCTGTTCTGGCTCACAGGCTTGTGTCTGAGCCTTGTTAGAGTGATTCAAAACTCACTGTCCCAAACCCCAGGGCCGCTTTGGGGAAAGGGTCCCGTTCCAGTTCCTTGCTTCAATTTTAAGCTAATTTAAATTCCATCTTGTTGTCATTTACCCAAGAAAATCTGAGGAGAGGAAGAGATTCCAGCTAGAAATATTTTTTCTTTTTTTACTTCTTAATATCTTAGCATTTTTATTAGTGTATATTCATTATATAAAGTGTTGATTACATAATAGTTCAAGAAGAGCATTGACAATAAGCATTATTGTCAAGATGCATTCCCAATTACCCTCTCTTGTCCCCACTCCCGTTAGTTCCCTTAAATTTTCATGTCATATGTGTGTTTGTGTGCATGTGTATGTAAAATGTAGGTTCTACATTGTAGGAAAATTCCGGTAGTCTGGCCTTTTAAGCTTAATTTAACAATGTTATGTCCACTTATCTGTAAATGCTACGCATAGCTTTAAAAGTCATTTGTCCTTAAAACTTTTGTTTTGGTTCAGCAGTTCCTTTGAGAATTGATGACAGATCTGACTTTGCGTTCCTGGAAAGGGTTTAAGACACACAAAACCCAGTGTTCCATGTAGGCTTTTGCTGTTAGATGCTCTGCGATGTTCTTCTTGCCAGGAGCATGCTAAATGCCAGTCCTCAGGACTGTGAGCTCACCGTTAGGAAACGGGGGGGGGGTGTGCTTACATGGCTCTCCCTCTTCAGTACTCTTCCCTGCGCCTCAATAATTGGTGGGTGGGAGCTGAATCCACAAACAGCAAGGGAGGAGATGCCCTCAGACTAGCTGTCTAGTCTGTCAGAGGCTTTCCTGACGCTTCCTCATATGATGAATGCAGTAGAGTCTGGACATCTGAACTGGACCCCAGGACCACCTCCTCCCCCACTCTTGACCTCACCCGGGTCATCCTGTGAAAGGGCCAACACATTCTTAAGCCTGTCAACTCTTATAGATCCACCATTTGATTTGCTTCTTTTTTTTCGGGAGGTGCTCGAATCCCTATTAAAACACACTCATATGACCTGATAAAATTTAGATTGCGCTGGCTGGAGAAGCCCATCAGGGAGCTGAGAGTGTCTGCTGCTCTTGCAGAGGACCTGAGCTCGGCTCCCAGCACCCACGTCAGGCGCCTCACAGCTGCTTGTAACTCTGGCTCCAGGGGGTTCTGATGTCCTCTTTTGGCTGTCATGGACACCTCACTCATGTGCACCGCCTCCAGATCACATAATTTAAGAATAAAATAAGGGCTAGAGCACTTTTCAAGCACTTTTCAACCTTCCTGATGCTGTGACCCCTTAATACAGTTTCTCACATTGTGGTGACCCCTGGCCATAAAATTATTTTTTGTTGCTACTTCATAATTTTTTTTTTTTTTTTGCTAAAGTTACATATCATAATAGAAGCATCTGTGTTTTCTGATGGTCTTAAGCAACCCCTGTGAAAGGGTCATTTGACCCCCAGAGGGGTCGTGACCCACAGGTTGACTGAGGACTGCTCAGTAGTTGATTTGGCTCCCGGCACCCACATGGCAAAGTGTAACCACAGGTAAAGTGGCGCAGGGGATCTGAGTGCCTTTCCTGGCCTCTGAGAGGACCCGGCACCTGCACATACTGCGCATGTGTAGTATGTAGCATGTGTAGTACGCTCATACTCTGCACAACTCTTCAAATGTAACATCTCTGAGAGCAAGGATGCACCCTAAGCAGCTTTTTAAAGGGGCCGGGGTATAAGGTTAGGGGCTCGCATGTGTCTTGCGAGGGCTATGTCACTGACTGACATCCCCAGCCTTCCTGGGATGCTTGATTTTGAGACGGAATCTGCTAAGCTGTCAGGAAGGAGCTTGGGCTCACCCTGTAGCCCAGGCTGGCGCTGGCATCGCCACCCTTCTGTCTCAGCCTCCAGAGCAGCTGGGATTCTCGGGCCTGGACCACCACCTCTGGCTCCGTAAGCATCTTGAACCTTTCTTTGGCTTCAGTACTGCTGTTGTCTTTGACGTTCCAGGCCTTCGGGCAGGGATGGAGGTGATGGTGAGTACCCTCCTCGCCCTTGAGAAGAGTCATCCTTGGACCTTCACGGATCTTCATGGGCTGACACGTCACCTCCTTGATCACCTTTTGCCATGCTCGTTGACTCGCAGTCCATTTCTCTAAGGCAGGCCATGTCTCGCGAGGGGCCTTCACATATGCTGGCATCACATTGCTGTGCTCTTGTGCCTTCATCATTCTCAATGTTCAACCCAAGATCAACCCTTACCTTCTCTAGTTGGCCTGGTTAGCTATGTCCCCCTAATTCACTTCAAGCCAGAGCTCCTCAGTAGCGTCATGCACCTAGCACATCTGGGACCTCATTAACATGTCAATTCTGTGTTGGCGAATTTGGTCTGGTGCCTGAGGTCACACATTCCCCACAAGCAGGCAGTGAGGGCCACACTGCTGGCCCATGAAACAACCACACTCTTAGCAGCTTTGAGATGCCCATTTCGGTGATTAACGTACTTAACATCTCTTCCAAGCCTCCCAGTCTTCAGGGAGTGCCATTTCCATAGATTCTAATGACCCAACAGCACGAGGCACTCCCTCTCCAATTAGAAGAAGGGCTTCCCGAGGGCGGGGTCTGCGTGTTTTGTGATGACTGGGTCTATTGCACTTAGGCGGTGCCTGGATGCCAAGAGGGGACTGACTGAAAGCACTGAAAGAGGGACTGACTGAAAGGTGCTAGGAGGGAAGGGGAGGGGAGGGGAGAAGAGTATGGTCCCTACCTCAATGGCCACCGCAATGTCTGGGGAGCACAGCTCCCATATCCGCAGGTCCTGGAGCACCTTCAGGAGAACGTGTGGCCGGATCCTCAGGTCCAGGTTCTCTCCAAACTTCTGCAGCTTTGACAGGATCTTTCTGGCAGGCCGGAAGCTCTTCAGGTCCTCAGGGAGTTTGGACAACAAATCAAAGTACCTTCAAGTCCAAGAGGAGAAAGTCAGTTAAGGAGCCAGGATGGGGTCTGGGCCCTTTGGTTCGCTTCATTTTCTAATCTGCTCTTCTCGGGGTACACATCAGGAAGGCAGCTTGAGGTTCTACCTGGAGGGCCTGTCCTCTATACCTAGTGTTTTTAGGAAAGTGTTTCTTTTTAAGGGTAGGCAAAGCTGGGGTTAGTTTCTCTTTCTCTGGTGAATAAGGAAAGGGCATGCTTTAAAAGGCACATTCATAGAACAGCTTTCTGTAGAGCAGATTGTGTGGAAATACAGAAAACAAAATGGGGGAGGTATTGTGTTTAAGGTTCTCTTCTGACTGCTAATTGTGCTAGGGTGGATATTGACACATCTGTGGCTGTTTTCTAGATGACAATGGCAGTGGTAATGATGATGGAGATGGTGGTGATGGAGATGGTGGTGATAGAGATGACAGTGTGGTAGTGATGATAATGGTGGTGACAGAGATGATGATGGGGATAGAGGTGACGGTGGTGATGGACATGATGGTGGTGATGGACATGATGGTGATGATGGACATGATGGAGATGATGGGGGTGAGAGAGATGATGGTGGTGACAGAGATGATGGTGTGATGGAGATGACGGCATGTGCATTTTCATCTCCATGAAAAACACTCATCTGACAGGCTGTGTGTTTCATGCTACCACTAGGATGGTGGAGACAGGTGGGCTCTAACCCATCTTTGTCTAACCTACTAACCCACCTTAGTTCTAAGATTATGCTTTAAACGTGGCCAGGGCCTACTTAAGACAAGTGATGTCAGGTCTTTAGAACGTGCTCTCCAGGCTGGCAGGTACAGAGCTTGCCCCACATGCCAAACAACAGGAGTTTGATCCCCTGGGCCCACAAAAAGGTAGAAGAAGAAACCAGAATCCACAAAGTTGTTCTCTTACCTCTGCATGTGCTCTCGTCTTTCTTTCTCCCCCTCTCTCAATGCACTAATAATAATAGTTCAACGATAGAAGTATTATGTAACTTATGATGATCATGAAAAGTGCCCTCCTCCATCACATATGTATCACTGTAGGAGGTTTTGAAGAATAACTTCATCTTTGCACTTATGTATTTGTTCATGTGTCTTTGTATAGCATGCACTGCCGTGAGAATACAGACTTTGCCTGAGTGAGCTTGCGGTGCCGAGCCGTGTCTAACAGAGAGTGGGTGTCCCGCAGCTACGATCCGAGTGAATGAGTAACTGGATGGGCGAGGAGCCCGGCTGAGCGCCCGTGTGGGCAGGCTGTGGTTCATTTGACTTGATTTTTAACGATGCTGTGAAAGGCACTCGTTTCCCCATAATGATACTAAAAGCTCCATTGTTAGAGATGCTTGCAGAATCCCACTGTGGGAAGCTCAACACTGACTTCCCACTCTAATATCTAATACCCTCCCTTCCCCCTCGCAGAAGACACTCCTGGGGGCCTGTGTATTTTGGGGGACAGATACTGCTCATGACACAGTGAAGGTCTGGGGGCACAAGGCAGTGTGGGCGGTTCTCACGTCTCTCCTGCAGCTCAGCGTCCCTCTGGTGAGTTCCTAGTTCGCATCAATAACAATGAGGGAGGGACTCCAGTCCCACCTTTTTCTTAGATCTTGTTTTCCTCATCCTGGCAGAACGGGGATCATGCCACATAATATGTCAGACACTGCTTCACCACAGGGCAGCGTGGCCTGGACAAGCAAGTGAACTCATCTGTTTCCATGTGAAATAGAGGTTTTGTATGTATCCTCCATGATTGGGGGGTGGGGGAGGAGCGGTAAAAAACAGGTAACATTAGATTTTCTTAGGGTAGCCTCCGCCATCCATCAGAGTCCCTTGGTTCATTGGTTCATAGTAATTCCTTACAGTTGGTCACGATTTCCTTCAAAAATGTCCTAAATCTTATTTGAATTGACAGAATCACCAAACCTGTTTCTAGGGTACTCGTATAGCATGTGAGAGCTTTTTTGTCTTTTGGAGATGGAGTCATACTATGCAGCCTTGGCTGACCTGGAACTGACCCTTGAACTAGCAGAGATCCACTTACCCCTGCCTTGGGACTGCTGGGGTTAGAGCAGCAGGGCACCACAGCGGCAGACAGCACAACTTGTATATAATGTGTAATGGCCCAATCCGGATACTCGGCATGACCACTTCTCCAGAGGGAGAAGATTTGGCATCCCCTTCCGGTTATTTTGAGGTAGTCGGTGCCATCACCCTGCCGTGCAGCAGACCCCAGCGCTCACCATGTTCTGCCTGTCCTCTTCCATGTGCTGAGGCAGTATTCCTGGGGTATGTCTGCCTGCAACTGTACCCTTGAGAGATTTCATTACTGTGGGGGTATGCCAAACAGAACTCAGACTCTGCAGACCCTTCTTTGATTGACAGGTTTGGTATTACTCTTCTGTGAGGTGTGTGTGTGTGTGTGTGTGTGTGTGTGTGGTTTGTAAGTGAGCTCTCCTTAAGTCTAAGTCTGGACCAAACATGAGGTAACCATGGAGACTGGGAGAGGTTTAATGATGCATGGTTTGGAAGCTGACAGGTTCTTTCCTGATTGTGCTTTGATCTGGGGGACCTGACCAGTGGCCAACAGTAGCTGGGAGATGACATCTCTAGGCTACTGAAGAACCTTGGGATGACCATGATACAACCCCCGGGGGCCGTTTTGTTTGGCCCTCAGGGTCTTACCAGTGGTCGGCAATCTCATCCGCATCCCCCTTTGACACTGAGACCTGGTGCCGCATTGTTGCTAAGTCCTTTTGTAAATTTGAGACGAAAACAAAGGAGTTGAACTTCTGGATACCTCGTTCTTCTTGGCGTCTAAGGAGTTGTGTGAGAAAGTGGGAGAGGAGTCAGAGACACGGACCCCTCCTTTAGCCACCCTGAGGCCTTCTTCAGATGCCATCAACCATCTCCTCTCCTATGGGCTCTTGTTACATTGTAGATTATGATCAGGCTTGTCTGCTGGTAGCTCTCTTAGACATGCAGAAATGACTTTGCTGCCTCTCAGAGATGACCATTATATTCTGCACACAAAGCACAGAGAATACTGCAAGGTGCACAGTAGGTGCTTAAGTCATGTTGGTTCTCTTCCCTAGTCTCACCTTTTTGCATACATGCCCTCTCTCCAAAGAAAATTCGTGTTATGAGTGTGCCACAACCAAAGCCCCACACCCAGCACCAATCCTTTGCACCTTACTTAGAATATTCCATAAGGTTCCAGATAACCCATTCCCTATACTTTCCAGCGTTGTCACCATGCTTCAAATTTTATGTCTTTCCCTCATGATTGCAGTCTTGGGGACAAAGTGTGACCTCCTCTGGTAGGTAGGCTAGCAAAGCCTTGTGATCTGGCCTCTGCCTTGCTGATCGCCTTGCAGGCATCCCGAGAGAACTAGACACAGCTGACGCCTGGTGATTCCTTTTCTACCCTCTGGGACTTGGCTTTTTCTTGGAGTTCCTTCCTTTCTTAATTTCCTAGCTGGATTCTCTGGTTTTGGATGCTACCTTACTGCTTTGCTGTTGTGCAGGGCCTTTGGTAGGGAGCCTTCTCTGGGTATGCTGGCGGTGTCTGTGTGTCTGTGTGTGTGTTCTCACCATAGGGCTGGGAGTAACTGCCAAGCTCTCAGTGCAGTGGCAGGGAACCCTGCCAAACACGGTACCCCAGAGACTGGCACTTAACCTGACAACGTTTCCGGCAGGAAGATGTTCAGATGGCTTTCCCGGGTCAGGAGGGCACTGGCTCTTTGTGCTCAGTGCTCTCCTCCCCCACATCACGGGCCTTACTGCCCTGTGTGGCAGATTCTTATGTACCTGTCTTTCTCTCTAAATGGTGAGCTCTGAGCAGGGAGTGGAGGGTCACCTGGATGCCCTGATGAGATGGGTGAGCTCCTTGGGGCACATGAGCACCTTAGTAAGGAGATGGGCTGTAGTGGGGAGGAGGATCCTGGTGGCCTTAGAATGGTAACCTCCATGGGCGGCATTCTGACCAAGTATGAACTTTTTGCTCCTACCAGAGTCCTGGGGTACTCTTCCTGCTTTGAGGATTTGAATGTGCTTTTGCTGCCACCTAGGACATTTCTCTTTCCAGCTTCTTCTTTCTGGGTTCCTCTGTTTCCTTGATGATCATCTCCAAGACCTCCTCAGAGAGGACTTCCTGGACTCCCCAGCCTGAATCGGGATCCCTGGTCACCCCCCCCACACACACCCCCTGCTTTCCTTTCTCCCTTCTCTTCATCCTCTCCTGCTTCTCCCCTCCCCTCCCTCTTCCTGCTCCCCTTCCCTCCCCCTTGTCACCTTCCTCCCCCCTGCTTTCCCCCTTCTCTTTCTCCTTTACTGTTTCCCTTTCTTCCATCCCCATCTGACATAACGCCTGTTCTCTTCCCATGCGGGATGATTCTAATTCGCGCCTCTCTGTAGATGCAGTGGGTTGGTTTCCCTGAGAGCAGCGGAGATGTCTGCCTTTGCTGTTACCCTAGCCTAGCTCCGGACAAATGCTGAGCATGCAGCAGGTTCCAGGTGCGTGGCCCTGCTGTGACCTGGACATATGTGCGTCCTCACTTTATGAGAATCTCCATCTTGTCTTGCAGGCAGTAGCTGGCCTCCTGGGCTATGCTGAAAAACTTGGCCCGCATGCTGTTACACACCCCGCTCTTGCAATGGATGATGTCACGGTTAGCACGGCTGTTGACAAGAGAAACGATCAGGGGATGGGGCCCAGCGGATGCTTTGGTAGCCTCACAGTTCCCACTGGCAAGATACCCTGAGGTAGGAACTGCTACCGGTGTCCATCTGGGCTTTTTGTTTTCACCTGGAGCCCCCCCTCAGCATCTCCATAGGAGGCTGGAAGGCTGGGTGCTGGCTCAGGCCTCGTACATGAGTCCACAGTGAGGCAGGTTCCACTGGAGGCCAGCAAACATCAGGGGCAGAGAACCTCTACCTCCATCCCCACCCCCTCTCAGCTATGCGGCCTCGAGTGGGGCACTGCACGTGGCCAACTCTTGGCCTGTTACTCTGTGAAATGAGGCAATGCTCTGCCTGGCACACACACGCTTGGGGAATAGCAAGGCCACAAACATAGGACGCAGCCTGTGGTGCTGCAGAGGGATCTCATGTCATTTTCTGCAGTGCCGCCCAGTATCTGGTCACTGAAACCCTTGTCCCTCTTTCCTGTTTGTGGCTTTAGGGAAGCTGGTCTGCACTGAGGAATTCTCCTACCCCAGGGAGACAGAGGATGCTGTTACCATGGCGAACTCTGCCTCCTGCTCACGCTGGCCTCTTCCCCACCTGGCTTACCCCTTTGTCTTCCTCTGGTTGCTTGGGATGTGGCTGTCTCCACTCGTTGTGCTGGATCTCTCACTGAAACACCAAGGGACAGGTTCTAGTTGTTTTCCTAAGCGGTGCCACTGAGGCCGTCCGGGCAAGTGCTAGTCCCCCAGAACTCAGGCACAGGGGAGACTCTCATCTGGGGATGAGAATCAACACACTTGGTCTCCAGTCTTGAACCTTGCTCCTGTCATGCTTTCTGCCTGGAGTGGCCTCCCTGTCCCTCTCCCACCATCTCTACTGTTGGTTTGTCTCTTGTGGTTCGTAGGGAGTCCTGCACCCTCATGCTCCTCAGCTTTGACCTTTGGCCTCAGCAGAGTGTCGGGATTACACACAAGTCATCACTAGGGACAGGGGCATGCCGGTAAAGGGTGACTAGGTGCTCTTCCCTCTGTTGTCTTTGGTGCTCTTCACCCCAGACTGTCATTTCATTCAAGGAGACACTTTTCTAAGCAGGCCCTCAACTTGACTTCACCTGGAATTAACTAAAACCGAATCTGCTGGGCACACCTGTGAGGGATTTTTCTTGATTTTTCACCTTAAATCTGGGCCAAACCTTCTTGTGACATTGTGTGCAAAAGGAAATGGGAGAAGGAAGACTGCTTTCTCTCATTCTTTCTGGCCAGGTTGTCTATCATGCTGCCGAGGTATTCCTTTACTGCAACTAGAACCCACTTCCTCAAGTTTCCAACCTAGCCTGAAGGGCAGCAGAGGCATCCCGCCTCGCAGACTAGACGAGTACTGGCCTCGGCCTCTCCTTAGGGAGACAGCTGTTGTTGGACTAGTGAGACTACAGCCTCAACTCACTCTGATAAACCCCTTTAGTATATAAAGATTTTTTTTTATACCAGCTCTGTTCCTAGAGAACTCTTGACTAATGTACTCTCGAGCTGAATACCCATGTACCTCAGTTTTGGAAGCAGGTAAGGCTAGATTCAGAGTCCTGCCTGGTTGTCAATCGCCTCCTCTGTGGTCATTCAACTTATCACGTGCTTTGACTCTTTCTGGGTGTGGACGGATTGGGTCCCTTGCATGGCTGTTCTCTCCTGCACCTCTTGTCGGCCGGCTTTCATGAGTAGATGATCAGTCCCCAGATCAGATCCACCTCCCCCTGCTGCCTTTCTCTCCAGGACCCTTAGATATTGAGTGTGAGTGTGTGTGTGTGCACTCGGGCGCACCATGCTGTCACACCCTGCTTTTAATGTGGGTCCTGGAGATTCAGACTCAGGCCTTCATGCTTGCACGGCAAGTACTTTTTACCAACCGAGTCATCTCTTTATCCCCTTGCACCATTTTTGCCTTTGAGGCGGGGTTTTACTCTGTAGCTCTGGCTGGCTTGAATCTCCCTACATAGGCCACCCCAGCCTTGAACTCATATACCCACCTCTCCCTCCTGAGTATGGGGATCAAAGGTGTGCATCAATCGCGCCTGGCACACTGAGTGACATTTTGTTTTTTTAGCACTTGTTTCCCCATGTCTCCCCTAAACAACAGTGAACCTTGGCTACTTCATGCCTGAGGTCTAGGGTTAGGGCTGTCTCACCCTCCTATGATGGTACCTTACTTCCTTTCTGGCTTCATGACTTTGGGGTCATGACTTTTGGGGAGGTGGGCCTGGCCATCTCTCAGAGTTCTTCCTAAATAGAAGGGCCTGGCGTTTGCTGCTTTTTCTAGAAGCTTGGACCTAGAGGTTTTAGGCTTTGTAGGTGATGGGAAAAGTATTATCCCACCTGGACAGGGCACGGGATCCTGGCAAAAAAGTACAGAGAGACAGGAAAGACTGCTATCAGATTCTAACCAGCTGTCCAGACCCGTGCAAATGAATCATGAGGAGAACGTGCTGGTGCAGACTTTTCCCTGTATTCTATTGTCTCCTCAGAAAGGAGGAGAGGTGAGGGATGTGGTGTCATTAGCTGGTAATGGGCAGACAGGTGAGCTACAGAGGCCCCTTTGCCTCCTCAGTCTCTCCTGCCTGGTCCTCATGGAGGTCTCTGCTCAGTGTTTCCAATTTCCTCTGGCTGAACCCTGTTCCCACATCTCCCCTCCTCAACGACAGGCTGGCTTATCTTTGTTCCGCAGGTCTCAGCTTAGATACTAAACTCAGCCCAGGTTAGAACCTTGGGTGGCAAATGCGTTTCCATTTCTCCCTCTGTTTTTCCAGGATACTCCTCATAGCCATGGTTCTACATGGCTAGCTGTGGGGCTACTCAAGGGCTGCTTATTGCACCACCAGTTCTCAAATATGGGGAGACTCCAAGAGGGCAGACAGAGAGAGAGAAAAAAAATCTCCATGTCTATTTTAAGTAGTTTCTGAGTGAGAAGGAAATGATGGGCATTTGGACGTCACATAACAGTTGTGGGAGATAGTCTCAAGAATCATTTGTACTCAACACTAATCCAAAATCACAGTGCTTGTTAGACCAACTGTGAAGTCTTAGCCCATGACGTGTCATCCAGGGCTGAGGAAGATCGGAGAGGACAGTGCTCCACACTGGAGACTGAGGTCACCTAGTAACCTGGATCATCACAGATGCCTTTGGCATCCTAATTTATTACGCACATTCACAGCGTCCTTCTGGAAGACGTCCATGGGCTTCCTTGTGCTATCTAAGGGCCCAAAGCTCAAGGCTGTTCCAGTCAGATGTCTGAGCCTACAATACATTTATACCATATGCTTACTGAAGCTTCCAGACCTAGGATAGCTCCGGGCCCGCAACTGAATCAGAAGACTGACTCCACGTCATATGACAGACTACTCCAGAAGGGAAGAGGTGACGTTCACTGAGGGAGAGGTCCTCCAGGCCCATGTATGTGTGCCTGCACATCTTTAACAGGCAAAATGAAGTGAAATCTTAAGACAGAACAGGAGGGCTCATGTGCCATGCTTTCCCAACAGTGTCCTTCTCTTCATGGATGGAATTGTTTAATGAAAGGCGTGGAATACAAACGCTGGGGAAACATTTCTGGGCACTCATGATTGGCCCAGGAGCAAAAGGAGCTTGTCTTCAGCGAGGTCAAAAGAAAAGAAAGGTGCCCCTCCCAGCCCTTCTCCCTGGGTGTATGTGTGATGGTCCCCAGGCAGGGGCGCTCTGTATCTACCTGCTGCAGGCTTCAGAAATTCCTACCTGGACTTGTGGGTCATCTGCCACTCCTTCAGGACATAATCACTCTTGTTTAAAGACAGGAGGCTGCAAAGCAAGAGGAGCCTTTTAACAAAACGTTGGATGCTCCGGTGCTCTGTAGCAGCAGGTGTCAGAAGCAGGACCGGATGGGATGCCTCCTCTCAGAGTGAGCTATAGAGCCACGCTGAGGGGAGCGCCTGGGGAGTTTGTTGAGAACACAGATGCTAAGCCACGTGTCCAGAGATTCGGCTGAGCTGGGCCGAGTTGTTCTCAGAAACTGCATTTAGACCCACTCACGTCCCTAGAGTCACACGTAGACAAATGGCAGGGCGATCTACCCCCCTTTAGGGAACTGTAGATCCCTGAAAACACAGACATAGATACTGTAGAACTGCACCTCACACTCACACACATACACACAGGCACCAAAATTATATACAAATTTTTAGAATCACAAACATACCTAGAATTTCACATGTGCAATGATTACATATCTGTACAGACAGACAGACAGACAGAGGCATTTGAAAAGCACACCAGGAGTTCTGCTCACCTTAAATTCTACCCCCATCAAGAGTTCCCCTCACCTGGAATTCCACCCTCCTCTAGAGTTTAACCCTCACCTGGAATTCCAC